ATTTTATATATATATATATATTATATATAATATTATATATATATATATGTCGTGCCGAATATGTAAAACTGGTCAATTAGCAAGAACTCATTTAAAATTAAGTCCTTTCTAAAAATTTCTCTTATACGTTTAAAGATATATTTTTTTCATTAATGTTAATGTAAAAATTTATAATTTTGCACCAAAAGGAACTTAAAAACTTACCTAACCTTATTATAACAAAAACAATTTATTTTAGCCTAACCCAACTAAATATATTTTAGATTTGTTTACAGAAATTTAATACTAAACAAACACAGTGAAATATATTTTTTCCTTAGGTTCAGAATGATTTTGGCGAAATTATTGCATACACAAATTTTCACTTGTCCTATATGGCAAGATGAACGTTGCTATTTAAGCCAAGATCGCAAGTTCTGCCTATTCGGCACGACATTTTATATATATTATATATATATATATATATATATATATATATATATATATATATATATATATATATATATATATATATAATAATATTGTAGATTTAGTTTATTATTACTTGAGTATGGAAATTATCAGCTTAATGCACTTCAATTATATGCAGTTGTTTCATACAAAATTCTCGTCTGTGACTATCATGAGTGAATATTTATGAGTGTATATTTGCCGAGTGGTATTTGAGAGTGCATATGCACCTACACTTGTACAGTACTCAGCATAAACACGCTGAAAAGGTGTGTATTTCTGTGTACATACAATTTGTAGATAAATGGTTCAGAGAACCGACACGTTGATAAATTAGTCACATGTTCATGTCTTGGGTATCTTTACTGAGGAAACGTTTCGCCACACAGTGGCTTCATCAGTCCATACAAAGGACTGATGAAGCCACTGTGTGGCGAAACGTTTCCTCAGTAAAGATACCCAAGAGTTGCACATGTGACACATACAATTTGAGTTTATAATCCGCTAAAGAGATTTAAGTATTCATAATTTTTATTTGTTTACACAAGGGCTTTACAGAATTAGGTTAAGAATTCCTACATCTACTTACAAGTTATGTTTCCTACCTCATCTCAACTGAAAACTTTATTATTGTTATGAGACATACGAATAGGGAATAGCATGAACGTAATAAGGTAAAGAACGCTGCAGCAGGCTTACTGGCCCATGCGAGGCAGGTTCAATTGTCCTACCGGTTTAAGCCAATGCCTTAACTTAGTCAGGCCAGGTCATGTCCACTTAAGGAAGGAGCACGGCATCTGACCTAGTAGCACAAGCTAGTCAGGTCAAACTCACACCCACCCACACCCACTCATGTAACCTATTGTTAAAACTACACAACGTCTTAGCCTCTATAACGGTACTCGGTGCTCCACCTGAAGGTGGAGCCATCTGTGGGCCAGTGATTTCATTGGGACTTCAGGTAATCGTGTAAAAGAGAAGCTTCAACTTTTATAATTTCCCAAAAAAAAGCACCAGTGTATTGATAAAGCCACTGGATGGCGAAACGTCTACTACAATAAAGATATCCAGATGTGCACATGTGTCTTAACTTTCACAGTGTATAGATTGTACGATGCAAGCGTATTTTAGTTACTGAAGAAGACAGATTCTGGCGTACTCTCCAAGTCCTTGTTTACGCAGATTCTTGTGTCTGCTGTAAGTTGGCAGTTATTGCAGGCTTGTTGCCTTGTAGGTGCTGCGGTTGTGTTAGGGAAATGCTGATGGTTCCTTGTTAAATGTTGCTGATTCGTTGGTTTAATGTTAATAGCTCGTCAGTTAAATATTGGAGGTTTATTGGTTGGGGGGGGGGTTGATAGTTCGTTGCCTAGATTATGTTAATTTGTTGATGGGTGAAAGATTTAGTTGCAGAGATGGTGATAATTTATTGGTTATGAAATATTTCATCTCAAACTCACTCACACTCGAGTCTCTTTTTCACTCTCGTACCAATTTAGAAGCGGGGTCAGCAGCTATGATTCGCCCCCTGCAACCACAAATATGTGAGTATAAATAAGTGAGTACACCATTCCATTTCAACCAGCCCGAAACAACACTTTCACTCAATCCAGCTCACTCACCTGGGCTGCTAGACAACAATCCGCTCTCCTCCTCACCTCCCTCGCTCCCGACCACCCTCTTCCCTACCACCTACCTGAGTCACCTAGCTTTCTCCCTCACATCCCATTACCATCCCCATGTCACTCTGCAGCGTACCACGATGTTCCAAGCTACTCCCCCATACAGAAGTCTAGTACAACAACCTCAGCAAGTAGCCTCTTTCTCCCACTCAGAGTAAATCATATCATTTCCATCCCACCATGTATCACCTTCCATACGGGTGGAAACATTGGATGCGTGTTTCCTTAACACACCTGCTATCCCTGTTCATCTAGCAGTAAGTACCTGGGTGTTAGACAACTGGTGTGGGTCGCATCCTATGGACAAAATTAGGCTAATTGCCCGAAATACTCGGTGTAACGAGATGCATTCTATATAGCATGTCACTGATGTCAGCAAAGTCTGTATAAGTTGTATCATATACTTTTAGAAATTATTATTATTATTATTATTATTATTATTATTATTATTATTATTATTCTTACCTTCACCCCCACTTCCTTTACAATATTACTGTAAGTAGCAACTCGCCAGAACATATCTAAAAGTTACAAAGCTCAATTGTGCAAGTAGTTGGAGAGAGCAAATAAGCGATGTTATATTTGCACTTAATGTGCTAGACGGCTACACAAGACATATACACCGGGAGGTGTGTCCCAGAGTGCTATACCGGCTACACATGATATATACACGACGAGGTTCAAGTCCCACGATGTTATACCGATGTCACCCATAGTGTTTTCAAAAGAAATCAATGTGGTAGTCCCACCACTTTTTAAGCTGAGCTCACGGACATCATATGGACATCGTGGATAAAGCGTCAAAATCAGTTGTCCATCACTCTTGCCCGTGAACGAAAAATCTCACCCTAACGTAAAAATTAACAAATTGTTAAATAATTCGCAACTTTCATGAAATGAGATTCTCACAACACATGAAGAGAAAGAAAGGTCAGAATTTGACACAAAGAGGCAGGATGGAATCTACCACCAGTTTCCACCTGCTACTTGTTAATCTTATTGAGAGTTTTGTTATATCATTTCTCCAGTAGTTACAAGTCACCTGTTAATGTCATCGTTCGTTGTTACTTGTCAATAGTAAGTAATTGGTAATGTGTTTACTAATCACCTGTTAGTGGTATTACTTCACCTGGTAATGTCATTACCGGTTACCAGTTGACACCATGGCGAGTTATTCGTAAAAAATCAAATCAAATCATGAGCAGATGGAAGCCTACGAATGCTGAAACTGTTGAAAAGATTTAAAGAGGGCAACGACTCAACCTTTAAGGTATAACTGCTCAAGGTCACAATTAATAGCTCAGTCACCTGAGTTTCCTAACAATAATCACCAGAATTAAGAAGTCACAAGAAAGTCAAACGTCCATAGGAATGTGTTGATATAGGTTAGCTGAAGACAACGAACAACCATAACTTCCACTTGGACATTTACTAAAGGAAGCCATGAGTGGCTACGTCAGTCCTAGTAGGGCTCATGGCGAAACGTGTCCTTCATTACATGTCCTGAACTGCAAATAAGTGTACTTTCCCACAACAACCACAATTTTCTCACCCAAATAGCTAGCAGCATTACCCTAGCAACTACGACTATCATCACGCTCAACAACGCCATCTACCTAAGCAACTCCTTAGTTATTATACAATGAAGCAAGATATAACTACAAAACCTTCACCACAGACAATCTTGACAGTTATCAACTTCACTTCCAGAAACAATAAAAATCAGTCAAAAATGCAGTAATCTCCCAGTACATTTATACGAAACAGAATGTGTGACCATATGGACGAACCTTCAACCCCTTGGTTAAGAGATTTCAACTAGCCAGTTAAAGGGTTCCTATCTCTCAGAGGTTATACTCATACTTATATAAATATCAGAATGTTTCTATTACAAATATATTTATCACATTACAGCCGACAAAAGAAACTTGTTGATCATACACATCGGTAAAGCACATCACATCAGAGCTGCACATCACTTGCAATTTTAGTCATCAATCTCATTAGTCATAACTATACTCAATTATTAACTATTAAGGCAATGATAATTCTTATTAATAAACCAAATAGCCATTAAAACTAACATTTCTCTCCATATTATGAATGGTATACAATACCGACAATTTGATGAGCAAGACATGTATATCTTGGGTATCTTTATTAACGAACTGTTTCACTTGCGCTGCAGGCTGCATCAGTAGTGGACTAAGCTCACCTTTTACCAAGTCTCAAATCTGTTACACCTCCTTTTCGTTATAGTATACAAGTCTGTAGCCTCGGGCGTCTGCTTTAGGCTAACAGACGGATTTTCTTCCCTCAAGGTTAAAGGGCTAATTACCTTAAACTGCCTCTCTGTGTTCGTCTGATGAAGCGTGCAGCTTCATTTCACCAGTCTCCTCAGGTCTAGACGAGCCATCGCGTCAACATTATTAACAAACACTTATAACTGTCAGAATACCTTCCCATGCAACCTCAGAAACGACACTGAACACTTAGCAGTCAATATCATTGATGCTCAGTCACAGATGCAAGCCCAAGTCTACATCTCTTAACGATGTAAAGTGTATAAAATGAAAACTAAAGGAGCAACAATAACATAAATCCCCACTACAAAACTACTAACGAAATCATGTCAACAGTCATAGCTATGATCATCGCTAGTCATGCAGTATCAGTAATAACTGAAATAACTAAGTGACTACACAATGATTGATAAAATTAACATTGTAACAATTAACCTAGAAACATAATCGTTTAGAAAGCTACTGGTACTACACAAAGGTATCCGGCGTCCTTGCTGTGTCTTTGTGTATCATCACCGAGGTACTAGACGGGATATAAAGGCTCAGACAGGAGACCCTTCTGCAGCAGTCCATATCGAGACACCTTGGGAACTATTCCATATATATTATGGTTAGTAACTATAAAAATGTTTCTTGTAGTCGACTCGCTTCTTTACTAGTGTCGATATCCATATTCATTATTTCTTTTGATTACGGCTTCAGCTGTTAAGTATTCTATGATCACCTTCAGTGTGACTAGAGAAAAAATTCTTCTGTTCATCATTCTTCTCTTTCTATGCCATTGAAGCATGAGAAAGACACTAAATTTGCATTGAAACGTTTAAAACGACCTTCCCTCCTTGACTGGACTGCCCAGGAGGTGTATCTGTTTATTTTTTAATACTTGACAAGTCTAGTCCTGGAAGGAAAGTCCAGGACTAGACTCTTCTATCACTACCACTCTTCTCTCACTATCAAACATTTATCAAGAGTAAATTTGTTGTAGTGACCACTCAGTGTGAAGTAAAATGTTTTATAAACAAAGACAGTATTTAAATACTATACTCAAGTTAGGCTTTTCATTCACAGTATTTTTTGTTTTTTGTTTTACCAGATGGCGTTGATGATCAGCATGTGTGTTGTTCTCCTTCTCGAGTCTTGTAGAGCGCAAGGCGTCGCTCCCCGTATTGGCTCTGTTGCTGTTGAAAGTCTTCCTCAAGTTATTTTTGGTGCTTCTGTTGAGAGACCAGGATTTTTTAATCGTGGGTTATCTACAAATGAAGATTCACCGGGAAGTTTCCCTGGTGCGCTCCTCGTGCCTTTCAGTGATAACACCTTCGGAGATTTCTCAAATCTCGGTCGTGGGTCTCTCGCTAATCCTGATTTAGGAAGGATAATTAATCCATTTATCAATAACTTTGGCAGAGGTCCTGTGAACTCCCTCGGCAGCACTGGGGACTTCTTCGGCAATTCGTTTGGTGGTGTTCCACCATTTGGCTTCAATGACCTCTCAAACAATCTTGGTGGCCCTCTGAATGGATTTAGTGATCCTTTAGGTGCCTTAGACAACTCATTTGGAATTCCTATTGTCATTGGGTCTTTTCCCAATTTCGGTATTAGTGGCCAAATCATTCCGCTTGTTAACGATTTCGGCAATGGTCAATTACCGGGCGGATTCGTTCCTTCAAACGGTCTAGGTGGCTTCTTAGGTCGAGTTCCTGGATCTATAAATACCCTTGGCAGCACTTTCAGTAACTCTCTTGGCAGTGAGTTTCTACCCATTACTGGGGCAACTGGTTCTGTGAATCCATTCATCAGTAACATCGGTAGTGGTCTTGCTCTCTTCTTCGACGGCAATGATAATACTTTCCATACTTCTTCTGGTGTCAACAGTCGTGCACCTGGGAGGTTCTAGAACTGTTGTACGTGGCTCTAATGACTATAGAAAAGCCTATGCCTTTTATATCTCAATCAGCAGTTTAAATGTTTCTATCGGTGTCCCTGGTACTTGAAGGTAGTGTTGTACTCATAATTTAGGTAACCACTTCCGGAGCGTTCCTAGTGCCGTCGGCGTTGGTGTAACCTTCACAGGTGGTGTATTAAACTGCAGTGGATACAGAAGACTTGTTGGTAGTCTTGACAGATACCTTGATGTCCCTGGAAGACACTAATCTACCAACCTTCATTGCTGGAAATGATTATGAATGATGAACCCCCAAACCATTCTTCATATAATGAAGATCAATACACAATAAAATTCATCAGATAATAGCTACAACATATTTATTAATAAATCAGCTAAATAACATTTATGTGTTTATTTCCTACTTATTACTGAAAGAGTTCATATATATATATATATATATATAATATATATATATATATATATATATATATATATATATATATATATACACACACATATATTTCATTCAACACACCGGCCGTATCCCACCGAGGCAGGGTGGCCCAAAAGAAAAAACGAAAGTTTCTCCTTTTACATTTACTAATATATACAGGAGAAGGGGTTACTAGCCCCTTGCTCCCGGCATTTTAGTCGCCTCTTACGACACGCATGGCTTACGGAGGAAGAATTCTGTTCCACTTCCCCATGGAGATAAGAGGAAATAAACAAGAACACGAACTAGTAAGACAATAGAAGAAAACCCAGATGGGTGTGTGTATATATATGTTTGTACATGTATGTGCAGTGTGACCTAAGTGTAAGTAGAAGTAGCAAGACGTACCTGAAATCTTGCATGTTTATGAGACAGAAAAAAGACACCAGCAATCCTGCCAGCATGTAAAACAATGACAGGCTTTCGTTTTACACTCACTTTGCAGGACGGTAGTACCTCCCTGGGCGGTTGCTATCAACCTACTACATATATATATATGTGTGTGTGTGTGTTTTTGTTGTTTGTGTGTGTGTGTGTGTGTGTGTGTGTGTGTGTGTGTGTGTGTGTGTGTGTGTGTTTGTGTGTGCGCGCGCGCAGTAATTTCTCAAAAATCATTCCGAACCTAACGCGAGAAAATATATTTCACTGTGTTAGTTTATTAATAAATTATTCTAAACTTATCTAAAAAATATTTCATTGTATTAGGCTAAATTAAACTGCGCATCGGTCTGGAGTTTTGAGACTCTGATCGCGGGTTCTAACCCCACCCTTGGTAAGGTAAGGTCAGGCAAGTTTTCTAAGGTTCCTCTGGTACCACATTATTAATTTTTACAATATAAATAAAAAAATATCTTTAAACGATTAAAAGGAAATTTTAAAAAGGACTTAATTTTAAACGAGTTCTTGCTTTTTGACCAATTTTACCTATTCGGCACGAATAATGATAATACTGGAAACAGATGTGGAGTGCTAGTTTTTGAAGTATTCAGTCCCTCACCCTTGATACGAAAACGTCACTCTCTTAGCCTAGAGCAGAGGAAGTGTCAATCATTTATCACATTTAAAGTTGAACACAACATTTACATACAGATGGGGAAGACACAAGTTGCTTCATGAAAGTTGAGTAAGACGCAACTTGTCGGTATTGCGTATCATTATGTGATAATTGCATGACAAAGCAACACCAACATTCTCAACATTCTCCTCCTGTTCTTCAAGATTCTCCTTTGTATGGACTGATGAAGCCACTGTGTGGCGAAACGTTTCCTCAATAAAGATACCCAAGAGTTGCACATGTGTCTAATTTATCAACACCAAGGTATGTTTGTCCTGAGGATTTCTACAATTATGTTGCTTAGAACTAGTAAGCATGATCTACTGCTTATTGTGGCGAGTGGCGTGCGAACTCCATCTCACTTCCGGTCCCGGTTCCGATTCACAATCCTTTTTCTTCACTCCTTTGCTCTAGTTTAGACTGAGACACTGATTAATATTTTAGTATTATAATCGCCTCTGCTCTCGACTGACAATGCTGTTGCATTAGGGAAAGATTTCGTCAATATATAAGTGTTGCACATTCATTTTAAAAAAAGACAAATGAAGGAAAAACTCTTCCATTTGAAAATAACTAATGTCATTACATAAGAACTTAAGAAAGGAGGAACACTGCAGAAGGCCTGTTGGCCCATAATTCTCAGGTCCTTTACAATACCAAGCCACTAACAGAACACTTGCCCAACCCACTTTCATTGCTACCCTAACAATAAGCTCTGACGTAAGAATATAAGAACATAACATTATTGTTCCTTGATAATGTAAGTAGTCACGAAAGCGCTTTGAATTTCTCTATTCTTTCACAGTGGTTGTTTAGCATATTCTGAAATCACCTGTTTACTGTGATCTTATTGCATAAGAACACAAGAAAGGAGGAACACTGCAGTAGGCCTGTTGGCCAATACTAGGCAGGTCCTTCACAATCCATCCCACTAACAAAGCATTTGCCCAACCCAATTTTCAATGCCACCCAAGAAATAAGCTCTGATAACTCTATTCACTCTCATATGCAAATCCCATTCAAATCCACCCCTCTCACTCATGTATTTGTCTAACCTAAACTTGAAACTACCAAAGGTTTTAGCTTCAATAACCCAACTAGGCAGACTCTTCCACTCAACTACCCTATTTACAAACCAATACTTTCCTATATCCTATCTAAATCTAGACTTATCTAATTTGAATCCATTATTGCGGGTTCTCTTCCTCTTACGAGGAAGCTGTTAATATCATATTATGACTAAGGTTCCATCTATCTGAAAGTATTTTCAAAACCTCAGTGAGCACATTCACTCAGATGTTCCATTAGTTTCTTTATTTCGGAAACACTGAACAGCATAATTAAGGAGCTACATTCAAATTAAACTTTTATGGGAATTTGCTGATACATAGACTGAACAATTACCTTAACTGTCACGGTCATCACAGCATAATAACAGTGTTATAGTAACAACTTCACTCGCCAACCACAATTATCAAGGTAGCACATCAGTAATTATAATGCACTGACCACACGGACATAACCTCATTCATAGTTAAAGGAATCTTAAGCCAATTAAAAGCTTTGTGTCCCCAAAAAATTATAACCATACTTAAACACAAAGTTTTCCTGAACTGCCAAGATGTATTACATTTAAAAAGTGTAAATATACGTAACTGTAATACAAAGCATCTATATCACTTTTAGCTAGAAACATCAGCCTCATTAACTCTTAAGAAAAAATTGTCGTTCTTAACAAACTTCAGATATTCCAGATTAATAGAAAGCACCATTATCTATCATGTTCTTATGTTCTTACTTAAAAGTATCACCCAACTGATCAATCATCATATAAACAAAATGTAATAATCACCCAACATCTTCACTTGTCACCATAACATCCCACCCGTAACATCAACCATCTTATCGATTTTGAAACAATCTCGCTCACGTTTAAGTAAGAGTTAACATAATCATCGCTTAATTACAGCTCAAACTCTAAAACCAGCTCTTGAAACAAATACCTGAAATAAAATCCCTGGAAGCAATAATACCACTTATCACTCAAAATTAATAATAAAATTAAATTAATAACAACTTCCACTAACGCTAGACATAAAATACCTCTGAATAGTGTATACAGCAACCTAGACAGTGACTTGAAAAATTAACATCGTAAAAATTAAGTAGAAACAATTGTTTAGAGCCGCTGATACCACACAAAGGTATCCAGCGACCTTGAGGCTTCTGCATGCATCACCGCAGAACTGTAGGGGTTATAAAGACTCAGGGAGAAATCTCCTAAAGCAGTTAACACCGAGATTCACCTCACATACTACTACGTAAGCCATGGTTAGTGGTTAGTGTCTATGAAAATGCATTTCTTCTAGTGAATATTTTACTCCAAGAATCTGTTACACATAACTATTAATTCTTACGATGACTACTTCTCATACTAAGAATTCTATCAATCACCAGAAGTGTGAGTCTACCAAGCAAAGTGTTTCTGTAAGTGTATTTTATATTATTTTGCATTTTTCTTTTTTTCCAGATGTTGTTGATCAGCGTGTGTGCTGCTCTTCTTGACTCTTGCAGAGCACAAAGCACCTCCTCCCATCTTGGCTCTGCTGCTGTTAGAAGCCTTCCCCAATTCGTTTTTGGTGCTTTAGCTAGAAACCAAAGATTTTCTAATACTGGCTTATCTACAAATCAAGACTCTTCAGGAAGTGTGCAAGCTGCTGTTTTTAGGCCACGCGGTTATAACTCTTTTGGTGAGTTCTCTAATATCGGTAGTGGGTTATTCCATAATCCTGGTGTATTTGGACTTACCATACCCCGGCCGGGATTGAACCCGCGGTCAGAGAGTCTCAAAACTCCAGCCCGTCGCGTTAGCCACTAGACCAGCTAGCCACAATAAGATTCATCCAACTAGGTATATTTCTACACCATAGGAAGGTTAGCACAGGCACCACTGTGACCACAAATGCAAGTTTTTACAGACGAATCTCCAGCTAGCGTGGCCGTGACGAACTCTAGCTCAAGTCCCATCACTGCCGTCAACATGACTCACGAAATCGTAATGACACGATTGCAAACAAACCATACCCTGGCCGGGATTGAACCCGCGGTCAGAGAGTCTCAAAACTCCAGACCGTCGCGTTCGGGTTCAATCCCGGCCGGGGTATAGTTTGTTTGCAATCGTGTCATTACGATTTCGTGAGTCGTATTTGGACTTGTTAATCCATTTATCAATGACTTCGACAGTGATCCTGTTAGTTCCTTCAGCGGCAACGGTGACCTTTTTGGCAACTCCTTTGGTGGCAACAGTGTTCCCTCATTTGGCTTCAATGACTTTTCAAACATTTTTGGCAACCATTTAAGTACCTTCGTTAGCTCTTTCGAATTCCCCTTGGCATTGGATCTTTTAACAGTTTTGGTGTAGGTGATATTCATCCACTTAGTAATGACCCGGGCAGGGGTCAGTTACCAGGTGGTTTCACTGATTCGAACGGTTTAGGTACCATCTTGGGTGCTGTTCCCAGGTCTGTTAAATACGTTTGCACCATTTTCGGCGGTCCTCTTAACAGTGGGTTTCTTCCTGTTCCCAGTATAATGGGCTCTGTTATTCCGTTTATCAATAATTTTGCCGCTGGTCCTGGTTGATTTGTCGACGGCAATGATGATTCTTTCGACCCTTCCTTTAGTGTCAATGGTCGTTTACCAGGTGAGTTTAAGGATTCTCGAAAACATCCTTTTTGACTCCATATCAGATTTCTCTCTTTTTTCAATAGTTTTAATGCCCCTATTGGTCTCTGTGTTCCTCCATCGGTTACAGTAGGGGTGTATTCAAATAG